TATTTTATTCTGTTTCTCTCATTTGACTCTCATCTACTCCGTCCGGTAGTATTATACGAGCTTTTTACGTGCCGTCAGATTAATTCGTAAAAGTTCTGTCACCGTTATGATATAGAATCTTTATTTTTTCTGCCTTTTTGTTTTTTTTCTTCATTTTCTTTCTATCAGGCATGATGGCCAAAGCGTATTTTTTCTGTACGTTTATCAGTACTACACGGAAGAAAAAATTATTATTTTTGTGTCAGCATATATTTTTAAACGATACGTTATCGTTGATTGTATTAGAAAAAACATAAAAAAAAAAGAGATGATAGGTACTTGGGACGGATGTACCATTATTGTAGGAGAAAATTGGGAAGGCAGTATACATATAATGAGATTAAATTTAAATTTGAAAGCTGTTAACCGTTAATAAAAAAAAAAACGATTCTGAGCGAAGTTCGGTAATAAATGTTTAGAAAGGCCGTGATATTTACGATAATATTTATCCAATTCATAACTAAAAATAAAAATCGAAAATAAAGAAACCATTAATGCCGTAAATTTGTTCGTATTTCCTACGTTTTTTCCGAGTTTTTCCAATTATTACGCAAACGGGTTAGAAACTCAAAAATGACTCATTTACTCATCAAACATATCCAAAATGCAACAAACAGTTATATTGTTATTTTATTTATTAGAACAAGAGTTTCAAGAGTTATGGAATTTGAAATTGTATGATTTACTTGTATTTTGTCAATCATTGACGGGGACGTCCGTTCTTGTATGTGTCTCTTCGATATTTTCATGCGTTTTTATTGGAATCATATCACCTTGTATTATCATTTATGGTTTTGTTGTCTTCAAATATATAATTAGGTATAAAGTATACGCACTGTTTCAGTCGGTTATTGGTTATCTATATTATCATTAAAATTAAAATTCCATCGATGTAATTCCATCAAAATTCCAACAACATTTTTTGATAATAAATCTCACAATTTAAAAACGTAATATTGTACATTAAATATTACATAATAATAATAAAAGCAATGCAATTATAATGCAATTATAACCGTACAATTAGTTGTTAAAATTATTGAAAATTTATTATTTAGTTACTTACATTTTGATAATAAAAATATCAGATCTCATAGTTAGTGAGTAACAACGGTAACCATCATAGGTCGTGATAATGATTGTACTACGTGTTCTACACTCCTAATCGCTTATCGTTTCAACTAACATCTCATCTTTTCATCGCCTAAGGTTGAGCAAACAAATCAATAATGATGAAATAATAATTATTGTTTTTTACCGTTCATTCCATAAATTTCTTAATATTTTATTTTACGACATATATTACATCTTGTCCATATATTATTATCTTCCATATCGTGTCGTTATATTTTCTCTTTTTAATAAGCGCAGTCCGTTTATTATCGGGTCTACGGTCGGGTATTTTTATGTCCAGCGAAAGAACAAGAATAGTCTAGTTTTTCTTGTCATATGACGCACCACGTGTACGGTAAAAATCCAGTTTAAAAATGTCCGTATTATAAATAAGAAATAGGATTAGTAAATTTTAAAAGCGAATTTTCTTGAAATTAAAAATGTGTGACTATCTATTTCTGTTTTTTACCGTGGACTTTTCACGTAAACCTCAACGGCCAATTGCATATACATGAATGCCGTCTTCAGATGAGAATCTATATTGGTAATGGCAAACCAAAGTACCCAATATATTTTATAATATGACTATAAACAGCAGTTAGAATGAAAGAAAAGTTAATTTTTTTTTTTTTAAAACCTGTCGAAACGTGTTCAGTGGCCAGCCAACGAACGGAGTAATATGGTTTTATAACGTATAACGGCAACCATACGATGACATAAAATTACTATACGGTTTGGTTTATACATTTTTATATCTTATATACGTGTGTTATAGCGAAAAACATTGCGTAGTACATAAAATTCAGCTCGAATATTTTAAAACGTCCAGATGTTGTACACAGGGGACAAACCGTACGATTGCGGTGTATATAATATGGTATGGTGATTTTGTGTCCCACGACAGAGTAAAATAATTGGTCCGCATAATGACGGCAATATAATGTTGTACAGTAATTTTTTTTTTTTTTTACGATATTGTATACTACAGGCTAGTGTTGGTTAGGTTACGCCTACGACGGCACTTTAAAAAAACGTGTAGTTAATAACATTATAATATTATAATACGGTTAAATCGAGCCCTCCGTTTTTAAATGAAAACTTCGCTATTAAACTATAGTAAGTAGAAGTGTAAAAAGGGAGCCTTTAAAACTCTAGGAGTACAAGTGCCAAGACCGAAAAATTCAAACCCGGGTAGTTATGGAGGAATGTAATGAGAGGCGGAAAAACTCTCGACAGAATTATCTATAGATTGTTCACCGTAAGGTGTACTCGGTGGTAAAAAAAGCAGAGCAAAGTGAAATATTTTATTTTAAGCATTCATGAACTTTAGTTTGTCTGCATTTAAAAAGACAATTTTGATTTTCCGTGTAATTTTCTTAAAACATAAGAAAAACTGGACATTTTTGTTGATTTCTGGTCAACGAGCGAATACAACTAATAATGCTCTATTCAGTATCGTTTTTCGTCAGTAATGGTCTACCTATAATATAAATTAAATTACTCAATGTATCTTCCTTTCCATCTTAAAACAGTGGCATATAAATCAGTACTATCCATCAGCCTTTTTAAATTTTTAATCAACAAATCCATTATACAAGATACAATAATACATAATTTCGTCCCCTCAGATTTTCTTATAGACGGGCGCCTCGGGTCTGTTGTTATTGTGTATCAGAATTCAAAACACAGACCCTTTGTGCGTGATTACAGCGTACGTCTATACACCTACATTTTGGTTGAATGCTGTGCGTCCTACCGTAAAAAAAAAAAAATAATAATAATAACAACAACAATGATAACGAACGTTGGAGGATTTCGTTGCAAAAATATCGTCGTTCAAAAAGAAAACAATAGTCATCGTTAGGAGAGGGGGAAATAAAATATTTAATTGAAATAATAGTAATAGTAATAATAAAAAGTTTTTGTTACCGACTAATCAACTAGATCCTATGTACAGATACTGTATATAAATATAAAACCATTCGAAATTAAAAAAAAAAATACGAGTTATTGTGGAATAGTATAATAATATCAAAGTTGAAAAAATGCGAAAATGATATTATTATTGAAAAAAAAAAAATAACTATAATAAAAAATGCGTGATATATTATATTAAAAACAATACAACAACAGAAAAGTATAATATTTATTAATTTTTTTTTTATTTTTTTGTCGGAGATTGGCTCAAGCCTATAGCATATAATGTAGGTAGTGATTTTAACTGACAGTTTAACGGCTTTTGAAAATAAATTATTGTTGTCATATTTTTTCTCTTTTTTTTTTTTTTTTAAATGCGAAATTCGGTTTACCCGCGTACACAAAAACTATACATATTATTATACTGCAGCCGTACATCATTTCCGCGGTTATTCGAATACTATATATTTTTTTTATAATATACTTAATCTATATTTATGGCGTTTCGATTTTTCGCGCATTTTATTACATACGTATAATATACAATATATTGTATATACAGTATACACTGCTGTGCGCGGAGGGGAACGGTAAATTTAACGACTTTCGTGTTTGTGTTGTTTTTTTTTTTAAATTTTTTATGCACGCGTTTCAATAGAGGACCATCGTCGGGGGACGGTTTATACGCGAGCACAGATGCGATCAAACGTTCTCCCGTCTCGAAAAAAAAAAAAAAATAAAATAATAAAATAAAAAATTATGCTCCCATATCACGGCATATCGAACAGTTCTTTCGCGGAAACGGCGAACGCGAGTCTCGAACACGGCGGTCGTCTGCAACAAGACGAATGAGTCGATAACACTGTTGAAGTTTAATATTGACACTATATAGACACATCAATGAATGGACGTCACTTAAGGGAGAAAACGGGGAGCCGATATTGAATGGTTGAAAGATAGTGCTAATAGTGATGGCAGTCTTGGAAGAAACGATTCAATATATTGATATTTACACCGCGTAATCGTTATTATCCATCTATCTTGATATAACTACGGATATTCATAATCAATTTGCTTGGAATGGTGAAAATACAGGAGAATTTCATACGTTCGTATAAAAATTTCACCGGTAACGACGTTGAAATCTTTGAACATTCTTATTTCATGTTATTATCAAAATATTACTAAACAAAAAAAACGCTTAAAGGAACAAGGAACGGGAACGAGCTCTTTTTATGCAATAGGAACGAGGAACGGGAACGAGTACCTTAAAAAAAAAAAAGTTTCCAACACTGGTTTCGGTGTTGACGCGTCCCCAAGGGCGAAGGGGAATTTACAATGTATACAAATTGTCAACAAAATAATTATAATCAAAATTTTAATTTACCGTTATCAGTAGAAAAAACTAACAACTAGGCACATAGTTAGCTTTATGTGTCATCCGTATCTCCAAGGCGAAAAATAGGCTTATAGTATTTATTGATTTAAAAACTAGATTCGCCCCCTCCCCTTGAAAACTGTCTAGGGGCGCCCCTGATTCGGGGTCGTGAAACAGTTTTCCGGATTCCAAGTAAAACCGCCAGGAACGACGGCGGACGACTGCGAAGCGATTCAATCCGGTTCGTATACGGTGGACGTGTTTTTGTGGTTCTCAGTTGATTTTTCAGCACCCGAGACTTATCTGGCGCGGTTTCGCGTAACACATACCGAGGGGGTGTTTTCGACTGAAGTGCCTACGCGAGCCACGATGCAAATGGCTCGCGGAACTAACAATTGATGTTGGTCGTTGGTACTATTTATCTTTTGAGGTTAACTCTAAAACCCTTTATTAGTATTTGGAATAACTTCCCCTCTCCCCCCTAATCGTTGTACAGACGATTATTGATTATATTCACGTATATAGATACGCTCGAATGTAATTATTATTATTGCTCGAGGTAATTAATAACGCGCGCACACACACACACACACACACACACACACATACTTGCATACCGGTCTGCATATATATATATATATATATTATAATAATTACATACACGCATTGATTGTATCATTACCCGAGTAATATTATCGCCGTCGGTCGACCGAATATACCGCCACTGCCGAACACTGCGCTAACTGACATTTGTCGCGGAACGATCGCTGCGCGCACCGGGACGACGCTTCGGGTTGGACGATTTATCCAATCCTATCCACCTTTCCGGGCCGTCAGAAGGAAAACTGTACGAGTGCATATTTAAATGGGTGGGGAGAGGGTCGATTTCGAATGTACCGGAAGAGCTGTTTTACAGTTTTACCGATATGTGTTTTTTTTTTCTCAAAAAACGCTCCGAATTGTTCACACCGTAACTTAAACGACGCGTCGTGACAATTATCCATCGTGACAATGTACACGAAACACTAATCTAGACGCCCAACGGTTTTTCTAAAAAAATAATTTAATAAACCAATCGACGTTACATCGGTTTGTATTTTTCTTGATTTCTGCGTTACTTTGGGTGCAAGTGGACAACACGACTACCGATATAACTTAATATTCAACCCGACCGGTTTATTAAACTCCACTTAGAATCGTTTTTTGATTGATTGAATGAATTATCGTTAAGTTCAGTATATAAACCGAATAACCATAAATCCTATATACATTTTAAATTTCCCACCAAAAACTATTCACTAGATTATGACGTTCATATCCGGTAAAATAAAACATCGATTATTGCTGTTTCAATTACATTTTGTTAGCCATTGTTTTATATCGTCGACATTATCGTATTGTTTTTCCTGAGAATTTTCCGAGGAAACGCTTAGAATGTTATTATAGATTTTATGTAGGACGTGGCTATCTTTTCGTCAATTTTTTTTTTCGTTACTCGTACATATTATTATGTTTTATACGGAAATAATAATAAAAAAAAAAAAACGAATATTTCAACTATGCACGCGATAGATGGTCGTAATTCGTAATGGATAAATCGGTAAAATATTTTCGGACGTTTTTTGGCAACCATATTACTATAATAACATAATTGATGGGTTATAAACAAAATAAATGTATATTTTATTTTATCATATTGGACATATTTCCATGATGCGTGTCGTTCATGAACATATAATGGTTTTAGACGGTTATTATTATTTTTGTCATTTTTATTATTGTTTTTCATATTATCAGTCAGCGTTGTGTTGGAAAAATTTATATTTTTGGAAGGGACGAACCGTTTTTGTTAAGTGGAATCAAATTTTTTCCCCTGACGAGTTTAAAGTTCGTAATTATCGGTCGATTTTATCGTATCCTTAAAACGAAAAAAAAATTTAATAATAACAATACTTAATAATAACTATCGACTATTTCTCGACATTTTCAATACCAGTATTTCGGTTTCAGTTCTTTTTGAACTTTACTCGGCCATCCTGATCTGTCTAATGAATATTTTATTTATTGTAATTTTCGACATTTTTAGTTTATCGTTTTTGTTTGTGTTTCATAAAATTCAATCAGTTTATTTTTCACCCGAATGAAAATATGGCACAATTAAAATAATCTGCCGAACGTATTATATCCGCGTCGTTTATTTTAATGTTCTCCGAAAATTTCCCTCAGCGTTGTGGTGTGAATTTTGCATCGATTCCAGAAAATTGCTTTCGGTCAGTTAATATAATATTATAGTGACTAGTGACTACAGTGTGTATCCAATATTGGGAGAGACGAAAAACAGAAGCGTAATTGGCTCAACAGTTAAACCAGAACTTGTGCTAAAGATTTCTTAGACCTGCTCAACATTTTTATATATTTGTGCATGTACGCTAAACAATTTTGACGCTCGCTTAACAACCACTACTTATCTAATTACAAATTAATTGTATTGTGTATCTAGAACTTTTATACAATACTTTTTTTTTCTTATATCAATATCATATTGGCAACAGATTAAAAAACTTTCTTTTTTTCTTCAGTTTCTTTGCCGCTGTACTTCACTCTTGATTATTATGATTTTACCAGATGCATACTATTAAAACCCCGAACGATGGTCCAACTATCAAATTATTTTCTTGTAATAATTTGGTAACGTTCGCTAAATAAGAATAAAAAAAAAAATGGGTCAACTTAATATTTATAAATTATAATAAGTTAGTATGTACCATTAAAATATTTTAAGTTAATATAAGTGTCGTTATCTACCTTTTTTTAAACCCATAGCAAGGAATTCTCGAATCTGAATGTTCGCACGTCACTTTCAATAAACTGAGTAAACAGTATACAAGTCTTATTAAAACAAACTAGGTATAGATATTAAATAATGTAACTACTAGAAAGTATGATTTAACTAGTAAATAAAATACTATCGTCACAAACTGAGAATGGAAAATAAAACTAATTTTACACGACGAATAACGAATATTATTGTAAAATATGTTTACAATATTGAATGGTCATATTATTATCATAGATATTATAATCTTCTATTGTCCGTGATTATTAGAACCATTAACCACGCCACCACATTATACGAGTATAAGACCTTGTACATACCTATATATTATATAACCTATAAATTATAATAATATCCAAATAGATGATAATAAATGTTATGGAATGGATTGAAGATTGACAACATTTGTGATGATAAAGCGAACCTGAAAAAAAAAAATATAATATTAAATAAAAAAATAATCAATATACCAACAAAAACAGGTGACAATTGAACAATTCATAATATTCACGGTTTTTAGGTACTGTCCTAATTGGTTTTTAGAACTGTCCATTTTAATTTATAACTATCCGTATTGGTTAGAACTACCCGTTAGCGCAAGTTCTGAGTTAAACATTAAAACGTAATAATATTTTGTCGAATACGATAATACACAAAACAGCGAGTTCGAATCGAATATATACACAAAGAGAGAAAAAAATCCTCTCATAATCGGACGTGCGGTACATTGTAAATTATGGTTTGTAAAAAACCGTAGTAAAAATGCGAAAGGTACTCCGACGTCTTTAATAATAATTGCTAGCCGCCGCCGCCGCCGCCGTCTAGTGGAACTCGCGAATTTTATCGTTTCGAATAATAAATTTCAATACTACGGTGTCGTCGAAAAAAAAAAAAAAACGTTAAACGTTTTACGTGGGCGATCGAAACGTACCGTAAAAACAATATATATTATTATGCGACGACGACGACGATGCATGCGCAGTCTGCGCCGCTATATCAATCAGTTTGGGACGCTATGTGTTTGCAACGATTTAAACAGCGAATAAATCAAATTATTAAATACTACTCTCGGGTGTTAAACATCGGCCGTTAAATTACGCATTTTCCAATGGTTATTGATCTGTGATTGGTGGCCGCGGTGTAATCGCTGCTGTCTCCTTGCGTTCTACAATAATTTGTTCCGTATTCGGTATGATAACGGAGCCGTGCGCACGCGTATAATTTTGACGGTGCGATCGATATCGTTTCGATCATATCACCGAACAGTGGACCGCGGCTTCTACGCCGTTCGTCCGAAAAAAAAATATCCGATAAGCAAAATAAAAAATAAGAAAAAAAAAACATTATCCCACGGAATAAACAAAATAAATATTTCTCGTATTTTCCCACGCAAAGCGTCCGTTAATCATAAATAATATACCATTGTATAATTTTAATCAACAGGTTTTCTATAGTAGGTGTTATTTACATGATCATTTTGCAATAGTCATACAATATTACGACCCTTTACGTGGAAAAACCATCGAGAAACATTTATTTTATCCCCGTTTGCTTAGCAGATATTGTCTAATTTTTTATCAAAACTCAGTACCTGCACAAAAACTACGACGGTGGCGTGTTGTATTTCTACAAGCCGATAAACGAATATTGTCCGTAGCACATAATGAAGTTCGTGATAAGCGAACGAAAACAATGAAGGCGATAATAGAGAACGTGGCGTGATCATTGGCGTACACACGGGGGTGCCGGGGGGTGCTTAGCACCCATAAATCTAAAATTAGCACCACCTGATTTCGAGTCAAATAAAATAAATATAATATTACAAATAGAACTCAGATGTGAGATAAGTAATTACTATTAGGTATACTGTTGTATATTGATTCATATTAATAATTAATATTATATAGCATTTATATTACATTATTATGTAAGTTTATGTAAATTGTGTTCATATTTTTATGGAGATACCTATCCCGTGTTCGTTGTTTATCAAGCAATGAACGTGTCATTATTTCAATTTTGTTTATTTAATGTGCAGTTAATGTATGATTAAATATCGAAATGTTGAACATGTCGGTGATGTGGGAAGAAATGCCCCTCACGTGTTATCTTATCGTAAATAATTTTAGCACTCCCAAATTTAGAAATAATGTGCGCCAATGATGGGCGTAATGCATTCGAGAAACATCGTTTCAATATTATGTCTGGATCACCGTTATCTATTCTGAGTAGATAACCGTGCTGGGTTAACCGTTCGTATACGAACCACGATTGTATAAAATCTGTTATCTAGTATTCTAGTGTCACATAAATATTTCTATTTATATATCGGTCCAATATAAGAATAGGTATTCAAATTACGAAAAAAAAACACGATCCAAGGGGAGACGATTGACCCGTTAACCCCCTTTACCCCCGTATCCATCACTGGGTCTATGGTACGCGTTTAAATTGTATAAGGTAAGCATTTTTTAATCGAATGAGTGTTAATTTTCTGCGGTGTGAAAGACTCAGCAACAAATATGATAAGAACGAGATTTTCACACTGGCAACGTGCCATAAAATAATTAATTTGCTTGCGTTTTGAAAATATTAAAACACGATTGCATCGACGCATTTCCGTTATGTTTTTCCCATTATTAACATTTGCACTTTTATGCTTAAGGTTCAGAGAGGTGTTCACAATTAAATACGTTTTCATATTTATATTCAATTGTATTACGTTGTGACTTTGGATCGAAATATTTTGTTCACAATGTAGTTGATTATACCTACTTATTATTTTTATCAAATAAAGCCTACATTTTTAATATTAGATTTAGTTATCTATATAAAAACACGCCTGTTATTTGTCTTTTGACTTACTGAAATGT